TACCACATTCGCCCAGATTGTTTCAGCCCATATAGTGATCGCCTTAATTTGATTGAGAACATACCCCGTGGTTTGTTAGTTGCTTCAGGCAACTTAAGTCCTTCTAGGACTTTCATATATATATCAGTATCTAATTCTCCATATAGATACGCGGTGATGACATCCATAAGTCGCATGTCAAGTTTTTCTGAAATCACCAAACTTATTAAGTAACGGAACATAATTGTGTCCATTACAGGAGAGTATGTCTCTTCATAATCAACTCCAGATCTTTGTGAAAAACCTTGTGCAACGAGTCGTGCTTTATATCTTGCAATCTCGTTTTTCTCGTTGCGTTTCCTTGTAAACACCCATTTGTAACCTACGGGGTTTACATCAGTTGGGGTTTGGACTACTGGTCCAAAAACACTTCGCCTTTCCAAGGAATTTAATTCTGCCTGGATTGCATCTTTCCACTTAGGCCAATCTTGTCTCTGTTTGCATTCATCAACAGAGCGGGGCTCAATATCATCACTTAATATGATTTCAGTGGCTACTGCGAATGCAAACATATCGTCAATGATTATTTCATTCCGATCCCACAATTCATTAGTACATGCATAGTTTATGGAGATTTCTTTGCTTTCATGTACTTCTGTCTCTTCAGGGCCATTTTCTTCTTCTGGAAGTCCAGAGTCATGAATTGTGGATTTGTCATTTACTCTCTCTTCCTGAATGATTTCATTTGGATTCAGTTGTGCCCTCGTCTTTCTCTTCCGATGGGCTGAATCTTTTGAACCTGGTGGTCTACCACGCTTCAGGTGTGCACCAGATGAATCATTCGTTGCCACTTTATTTTATCCAACAGGGACATCAATTCTGGCAGGTGCATTTGCAGCTGGTATATGCGATTTTGTCACTTTCATAGCGTCATTAAATGCATCTGGCATTTGATTGGCAATGCTTTGAAGATGAACGATCCTTTTCACTTCATTTTCACATTGAAGGGTTCGAGGATCAAAATGAGATAAGGTGGGAACAACCCATGTTAGCTCTTGTCGTTCTTCTGGAACGGTCTTTTCTCCCCCTAACGACGGGAAAACTGTCTCATCAAAATGACAATCAGCAAAACGAGCTGTAAACATATCACCTGTCAAGGGTTCCAAATATCTAATAATAGATGGTGAATCAAAACCCACATAAATTCCCAGTCTACGCTGAGGTCCCATTTTAGTGCGTTGCGGAGGTGCAATAGGCACATAAACAGCACAACCAAAAACTCGTAAATGTGAAATGTTTGGCTGATGTCCAAACACGAGTTGTATTGAGGAGTATTGGTGGTTGGCTATAGGTCTCAATCGAACCAATGATGCAGCATGTAGAATGGCATGTCCCCATGCAGAAACAGGCAATTTGGTTTTCATAAGCAGAGTGCGGGCTATTAACTGAAGCCGCTTGATCAATGCTTCTGCTAAACCATTTTGAGTATGGACATGAGGAACAGGGTGTTCAACATCAATGCCCAATGTCATGCAGTAATCATCAAAGGTTTGAGACGTAAATTCACCAGCGTTATCAAGTCGGATTGATTTAATGGGATAATCTGGGAATTGTGCTCGTAACTTAGTTATTTGAGCAAGAAGTCTCGCAAAAGCTACATTCCGAGTAGACAAGAGACAAACATGTGACCATCTGGTTGATGCATCAACCAAAACCATAAAATATCGAAATGGTCCACAAGATGGTTGAATAGGTCCACAGATATCCCCTTGAATTCTTTATAGAAATGATGGGGATTCAGCATCAACCTTTAGCCCCTTGAATTCTTTGTAGAAATGATGGGGATTCAGCATCAACTTTTAGTTGTGATGGTCTAATTACCAACTTCCCTTGGGAACAAGCCTTGCAAGGGTTATCATTTGAGATAGCAATGTCTCTGCTCAATAATGGATGTCCATTAGAGTTGGTAATGATCCTACGCAACATGGTGGATCCTGGATGACCCAGACGGTCATGCCAAAGCATGTAAACCTTTGAATCAATGAACTTCTGGTTCATGATAGTATGTGATTCAACTGTCCTTATGTATGTATAATATAATCCACTCGAAAAACCACGCAACTTCTCCAATATACGCTTCTGGGTATCATTGGAGGTAATGCATAGATACTCCACATTTTTTGCACTTTTCGTTTCAATGTGGTATCCATTTAGACGTATGTCTTTGAAACTCAACAAATTTCGAGTAGATCGAGTAGCATACAATGCATTTTGTATGGACAATATTGTTCCATTTGGTAACATAATCTGGGCTTTCCCTGAGCCTTCAATCACATATGAAGGTCCTGATATTGTTGTTTCCCCTATTTTTGTAAGCATTAAGCTTGAGAAATACTTTCGATCACGAAGTATTGTATGTGTGGTTGCACTGTCTGCAAGACAAATATCTCCGCCATTTCTCATGTTCTGAGAATAACCACAGTTTTTATCCATGCTTTCTGAGTAAATGGAATCACAGTTAACAAACAATTTATAACAGGAAATTTACATGCCATTTTTATTGAATTTGAAAAACTAGTTTTAGACAACAAGTTCATCATAATAAAAGTACATCAAACATAAATGATTTAGTCGGACCGATATACTTCATTCCCCCTTTCCATAATGAAGTCTGAAACATCTAGGTGAGTTGCGTCAAATTGCCCTGATAAATCAAACACTGGATCAGGTATATCCATTGGTTTAGCCTGGTCGAGAAAATTGGTCTCGACACCCTTCTTCTTGAGGGAGGCTTGATACAACTCCACCAGATGTTTTGGGGTACGACAAGTTCGCACCCAATGCCCATTGCCACCACACCTATGGCAGGCTCCTTCAGAGTTCCTGGGAGCATTGGTCATGTTAGCTTTGCCTTTGTGACGATTCACATTTTTGAAGCTCGGGCCAGAATTATGCCTCTGAACCTGGTTGTGAAACTGACCACCATGGTTCTTGCCATTCCTATTCCATCGACCTCGTTTGTGGCCACGTCCTTGTTTATGATAATTACCACCAGAGGATATGGCGTTCACTTCGAGGGAAGTAGCATTTACTTCTGGGAATGGTGCAGATCCAGTAGGTCGGGAATTATGGTTTTTCATCAGGAGCTCATTGTTCTGTTCAGCTACCAGGAGCACAGATATCAGCTGGTTGTATTCAGTGTAGCCTCGCGCTCTATACTGCTGCTGCAGGAGCACATTATTGGCATGAAATGTGCTGTAAGTCTTTTCCAGCAATATTTCATCAGTAATGGTATCCCCACAGAGCTTCATCTGAGAGGTAATCCTGAACAACGCAGAATTGTACTCCGTTACTGATTTGAAATCCTGAATTCTCAGGTGAGACCACTCATAGCGAGCTTTTGGAAGAATCACCGTTGTCTGGTGATTGTATCTGCTTCGCAAGGCCTCCCAGAGAGCTAACGGATCTTCAACCGTTAAGTACTCACTCTTTAGTGCCTCATCAATATGGCGGCGAATAAAGATCATAGCCTTCGCTCGATTTTGAGAAGATGAGCTGCTTTCTTCCTTGATGGTATCTCCAAGATTCCCTGCTTCCAGATGGATCTTGGTATCAAGTACCCAAGTAAGGTAATTCTTCCCAGTAATGTCCAGGGCAGCATATTCAAGCTTAGCCAAGTTCGTCATTTTCTTTTCTGAAAGAAAATGAGATGTGTAAGAACTTGCAGTAATATGTATTCCTAGAGGAATGTGATGTTAGAACTTCTGGTTCTTACAAATTTTTCATTTTGATCTTCAGGCCAAAATGATAAGCACTCGAAACTTCTGGCTCGAGATTTGCAGGGTGAATGAGAAGGGCGATTGTACCGCACCATTCTCATTGAAAGAATGTAACATGGAATGGGCGATTAGTCCGCACCACTCAAGTAGCAAGAAAATTGAAATACGCAGAGCAGGGTGGGCGATTATACCGCACCACCTAAAATAGCAATGAAATTAAACAACAGGTAAATTTAAATTTGGAGAGCAAGGAGGGCGATTATACCGCACCACCTAAAATTGCAATGAAATTAAATAACAAGTAAATTTAAATTTGGAGAGCAAAGAGGGCGATTATACCGCACCACCTAAAATTGCAATGAAATTAAATAACAGGTAAATTTAAATTTGGAGAGCAAGGAGGGCGATTATACCGCTCCACCTGAAATTTGCAGTAAAAGTAGATCTGCAGTCCAAGATAGGCGATGATACCGCACCATCTTGGATCGCAGTAAGATGAAATTTGCAGTTCAAGATGGGCGATTGTACCGTACCATCTTGGATTGCAGTAAAATCAATATAAATACTATGTTAGTAATCAATATCCAAACCAAACAAGTAATCAAAGATGTATGTAACCGCTAGTTGGAGAACTACGAGCAGGCATGGAGCAAATAGTTCGTCGCGAGGATATACCGCGCAGTTGAGGCAGATGAAGAAGATGAATAGGAAAAACCTTAGAGGAAACATTTTTTTTTTTTTCGTTCGGCGGAGAGAAATGAGAGAATGATTTCCTTTATTGTTTAGTGAATGTAAATGAGACATGGTTACACTTAGAGACTCGTGCTGATAACGTGTTATAAATAGGCAAAATTTATAGAGAGATAACCTTTACTCGGTGAAGGAACGAAGCAGTTGCAGAGTAATATACCGACACAAGCTGTTGCAGAGGAAGTAATGTATATTATTGCTATTAGATATATTTCTCTTTTCTTTCTTCTTCTCATTCACTTCTCTTTGCACAATTGAAGTGCTCTATTTATAGAGCTACTTCAATGGAAAATTACAAAACATTACTATTTAGCTTATGAGTATATAATATACACATGTGATACTTCACTATACACATTACTATACACATGTGGGCAAACATACCCATTATTTACAACACCATATATATATATATATGTGAGACACTCATGATCTATGATTATAGAAAACAAAAGGGGTTTAACAGGATTAACAAAAAGGCTAGCTCTTCATTTTGTTTCCTAAAATTGCCTAACAAATCGCACCTTTCTCTCTCTCTCTCTCTCTCCAGTCTGTCTGCACCATTCCCTTTCTATTATCTTTTCCTGTAAAACTTCCTCCTCCAAACCATCAGGTCGGGCAGATCCTGCCTTCCTCCATCATGGCTTCGGTAAACATTTTCTCCATCTCCTCTTTTTTTCATTATTTTCCCTCATTTTTCTGTACAAACATGTATAAATTTCGGGTATGTGAATTCTTGACAGTTTCTTAGGACAGAAAAGATCAAAGAAAGATTGAATTTTATTAGGTTGTGCAATGCTCTAAATTTTAGTTTTGTTAGGAATTCAAGGTTTTCAATTCTAATGACCTAGGGATAGTAGTTTTCCCATCATTCCTAGCATGGAAACTTATCATGCATTTCTGGAAAGATACGTATATGGAGGATCTTCCTTCGAGCCCTTCTTTTCGTTTTTCCTTTTTGGTGCAAATTCATTGCCTCTCATAGGGATTCGACCTAAGAAAGAAGTGTCGGCTGTTGACTACCAACGCCCTCACCCTCCTCCTTTATTCGGGCTTGAGATCGGCAGTATAAGATAAACTTACATAGATGGAGTTTGCAAATTCATTGCCCCTAATCAATCAAATTGTTACCCATCTTAATGTGAAATTCTTTTCTTGTTTTCATTACAATGGTTAGAGAGTACAATATTGTTTCATGCATGATTCTTTTCCTTAAGTTTATTAAAAAGTAAATTCTAAGTCCCGATGCAGTTGCTTAACGATACACATACACGTCGCTGTGTAAGAAACGCAGAAGATTGATGTGGAGGTAATGTGAAGGTTAGATGAACAAGGACGTGAAAAATGGAGGCAGATGTGTGGAAATATATTTTGGTTTCATTTCATTAAGTTTTCGGTGTTAATTACAAACCGAGTAGGATCAAGACGATTGATGACCTAGCCAGTTTAGAGTATCTGCAGATACTAATCGGAGCTTGTTTTTACAATATTTCAGCAGGATAAAGGTCGACCGTTGCCGAAATTCGGGGAATGGGATGTAAACAACCCAGCTTCAGCTGAAGGATTTACTGTTATATTCAACAAGGCCAGAGATGACAAGAAGACCAGTGCGGCTCAAGTGAAGATCGTCACCCCACGAAAAAATGACGGCAGCACACGAAGAAATGGTGCTGGATACAACACTGTCAATGAGCATTATCCTAAGTATCCTCCCCCAAAGGTAACAAACACTATATAAGTTGCTCTTGAAATTTGATGTTCGGGTTTTGTCCGTAAATATGGCCTGTTTGGAGTGCTTTAAGAAGGCTAAAATTGCTTTTGGACAAGCAAAAAAGCTTCTAATAACTTTTGGCAGAAAATGTTATACTTATTTCATGAAGAGCGTGTTGTTAATGAAAATTTTCACGAGCTTCTCTCAAAAAAGTTATGAAAAGTACAAGTGTTTTCTAGATTAGCATTTTCAAATGGTGATTCCATAAAAGAAGCACATGGCAAGTGCTTTCTTCAAAATTTTTCTTCCAAACATGATCAGAAAGCGCTTTTAGTGATCTAAAAGTGTTTTTAGTTATTTTAAAAGTACTTTTAAATAGGTCACAAATCTTCTCATAGCTTTGTTACTAATCTTCTAACTGAATATTTGCAGAATAAATGGTTTTGCTGTGGTTGAACGAATCAACAACAGCTCATGAGGGCGAGGTGATGATGCAAAAATATTAGGGTGTGACTGGGAGGAGTTACTACAAACAAATTAAAGACATTTTTTCTTGTGCCTGGGAAATATATGTGGAACAGCAAATCTCTCATATATATAAAAAAGTTCTTTTTGTTCCTTTTTTTTTTTCACTTCTGCTTTTATGGATTTTGGCTTCTTTTGCCCTTCTATGTCAATATATATATATATATATATATATAGAGAGAGAGAGAGAGAGAGAGAGGGGGGGAGGGATCCCCATTTTTTGAAAAAAATGGGGATTAGGTGTGGGAGCCACTTCACATCTAATTTCAACGATCCGAACCGTCTATTTTGTTAGTCTCGATTCATAGATCATCCTTGCAAAATATTAGCTAAATTGGAAATGTTTAAGACATCTAATTGGGTTCAGGGAAATGAACGAATACTTTGCTATATAAGAAAATATGAAATTTGATATTGATAATTAAATAGGCAAATGGTTTCGGATTGAATTGAATTTTTGCAAGGATGATCTATGAATCGAGACTAACAAAATAGACGGTTCGGATTGTTAAAATTTGATGTGAAGTGCACCCCACACATAATCCCCATTTTTTTCAAAAAATGGGGATCCCTCCGCTTAAGCTCTCTCTCTCTCTCTCTCTCTCTCTCTCTCTCTCTCTCTCTATATATATATATATATATATATATATATATATATATAATTGGGCACAAGAACGTCACTTTATTTAGGTTTGCAGCAGTCACTTCTTGCTTGTTACAGGATCTTACCTTGTATCTATCTGATCATCCCACTCCCCACGTCCGATAGCTTGTTTGGTGCCTAAGATTGTATTTGACTTGATAACACAGTAAATTCAAGCGTGTTGAAGGACGGAAGAAACAAAGAAGTTTTGTCCAAGTTAAAAGGTAGAAGATGAAGTGCAGCGTGAAGAAAACATATCATTTAAAACCCCCTCACAAAATGGTAGGATACCAACATCTCTTATAACTTGTCCCTTCTTATTCCCCGTCCCCAGATGAAGAATCATTCACAACTACCTTCATTTCTTACTTCACCATGGCTTAAAATAGCAAATTATCACTTCAGGAGGAGGCACATACACAAGTTTTTTTTGTCAAACCTCATAAATTCTTGGTGCGCTCTCGCTTGTTTTGCTCATTGTCGTCGAGGATCATCAAATTTTTTTGTCCCGTCGAATTAATCATCGCAATGAGAGGGTCAAGTAATCTCTATGTAGACACTAACTCGGTTCAAAAAATAAAATGTCTGAGTTCATCCAGCAATTCTTCCCCCTTGTTGGGGTTTGTTTGGTTTGGAGGTCAATAGTTAAACACAATCACTTCTGTAGGATTATCTAACAAGCAAATCAAAGATAATTGGGAAGTGACCATAACCACAAAGCAAAGTTGAGAGGATACTCCCCAAATTTAACCTGTATTTTCTAGTAAAATCACATCAAATACGAAATAATTTACATTCTCCGGCTTCAATTAAGTTCTTACATCCGAAAGACCGCTGGCAGCTGGGTGACAAGGTTTGATACATTTCCAAGTCTAGCTGGCGTTTCATGCAAAACTTATAACTCAGGCTGTTGCGGAATTGTAGCATCAGTCCCAGCTCTACTTCCAGATGTTCAAAAGGCATGAGAAGGAAAAGAAAGAGGTCAAAACACGAAAAGATCCGACTATTATCCCTAAAAAAATGGTAATTCGTACATCAAAATCATGAGAGGTAAATAAACCCAAGACTATAATACCGGAGTGATGAATTCTGTAGTTTTGGAATGAATCCCATGAGATTCATAAGCGAATTGTGGGTGAGATTCTTCTGCAGGTGTAGGATCAGGGTGATTATACAAGCAGTTGTTTTCATACTTGCAAGTGCCAGTTCGCATATAGTGCAAACAATCTTTCTTCCCCTGTAATACGTTAAAATAATTATTCAGCGAACATATGGACAATTGATAGTAGCTCCAACAGACTAAGAAAATAGCAAAGACAAAATCTCAAATCTTAAGCACCATGAATAGATAGATTTTCATTCCTCATATTTTTGCAGATCAAACCGAGAGTTTATACCGGACGAATTGGCAGGCCCAAAAAGTTAAGTTTCAGAGCTGGAGCTACAGAGGGTTCCCTTTTACGTTGTCCTGGGCAATACTGCAACAAGCTCAAGTGTTATATTAACATCAGGAAACTGTTACTATGCCGCCATGCACATTGCACAGATTTGAAAATTAATTGTAATCCTGTGTAAAAAGGAATATGTGATTGTAATGTAACACCATACAAATGTCATGAAAACACTTCGACTATAAGTTGATCACGTTCAAGACCCTCATCGTTCTATTGTTAGCTACAAGATAAAAGGTTTAAGATAACCACGTCGCCTATGAGTTGATCACGTTCAGTTATGCATGCTAACCTACTAGCTTTCAGATAACCATATGAGAAGCCCCATGGGCACTCAAAACAGAAAAAAAAAGGTCGTACCCAGTGCACAAGGCTCCCGCTTTACGCAGGGTCTGGGAGAGGTGAATGTCGGCTAGCCTTACCCCCATTTATGGAGAGGCTGCTCCCAAGTCTCGAACCCGAGACCTACCGCAACAAGCTCAAAACAGAAAGAGTTAAGATATTACGTGAAACCAAATATGCAAAGTAAAAGAAAACTTTAGGATGTAAAGCATGAAAACCAAGCAATTGAAGTAAAAACCAGAACTTCGGATAGACAATAATCTTGCTTCCGGTCTGGTCTTGCTTCTCTGTCAACTCTTCACTCTGCTTTGCCTTGTCCATAGACATCTTCTAAACAATATGATAAAGTTGAAAACACCAAGAAACACAAAGTGAGCACCAACAACACAAATATTTCATCCAGTCATACAAGGCCAGATGCATTAATGTTTCAAACACTAAATGCAGGTCCAAAGTCGCCATTTTTCAGTTAATCCGAAGTACCAATTTTCATGTACAAATTTCACCACAAAGATGCATGTGAAAGAAAAACATCATCTCTAACAAATATGACAAGTGCTTCATTTCAAGTCAATTCCACTGACAAAGATCATCATCACGGCATAATAAACTAACCGATTAACACATTCTTTACACCATAACACATGCATACATGCATTTTTCAGCTAAAGCATGAAACAAAGAGAGCTAAACACGAAAAGTCTAAATCTTTCAAACCATAAACATACATATGCAAATGCTAAATACAAAAAGTTAATATACTACTTGAAACCAAATATGCAAAGTAAAACAAACTTAATGATGTAAACATGAAAACCAAGCAATTGCAGTAAAATGTTCAAAACCAGAACTTCGGATAGATAATAACCTTGTTTCTGGTCTGGCCTTGCTTCTCTGCCAACTCTCCCCTCTGCTTTGCATTGTCCTTAAACACCTTCTAAACAATATGATAAAGTTGAAAACACCAAGAAACACAAAGTGAGCACCAACAACACAAATATTTCATCCAGTCATACAAGGCCAGATGCATTAATGTTTCAAACATTAAATGCAGGTCCAAAGTTGCAATTTTCAGTTAACCGAAGTACCAATTTTCACGTACAAATTTCACCACAAAGATGCATGTGAAAGAAAAATACCATCTCTAACAAATATGACAAGTGCTTCATTTCGAGTCAATTCCACTGACAAAGATCATCATCACGGCATAATAAACTAACCGATTAACACATTCTTTACACTATAACACATGGATACATGCATTTTTCAGCTAAAGCATGAAACAAAGAGAGCTAAACACAAAAAGTCTCAATCTTTCAACCATAAACATACATATGCAAATGCTAAATACAAAAAGTTAAGATACTACTTGACACCAAATATGCAAAGTAAAACAAACTTAATGATGTAAACATGAAAACCAAGCAATTGCAGTAAAAAGTTCAAAACCAGAACTTCGGATAGATAATAACCTTGTTTTTGGTCTGGCCTTGCTTCTCTGCCAACTCTCCCCTCTGCCTTGGCTTGTCCTTAAACACCTTCTAAACAATATGATAAAGTTGAAAACACCAAGAAACACAAAGTGAGCACCAACAACACAAATATTTCCTGCAATCATACAAGGCCAGATGCATTAATTTCACAAATGCTAAATGCAGGCCCAAAGTCCCCAATTTTTTTTTTGTTAATCCAAAGTCCCAAATTTTCAAGTACAAATTTCACCACAAAGATGCATATGAAATTATGAATGAAAGCATCATCTCTAACAAATATGACATGAGCCTCCATTTCAAGTCAATTCTGCTGACAAAGATCATGATTGCAGCTTAATAAACTAACCGGTTATAACATTCTTTACACCATAATACATGGATACATGCATTTCTCAGTTGAAACAATGAGAGCTGAAGTCGGGAAAACAAGAAAAGTCTCAATCTTTCAACAATAAACATACATAATGCTAAATACAAAAAGTTAAGATACTATTTGAAATCATATATGCAAAGTAAAACAAACTTAATGATGGAAAACATTAAAAGCAGTTGCATTGAAAACCAGAACTATGGATAGATAATAACCTTGCTTTCGGTCTGGTCTTGCTTCACTGCCAACTCTTCCCTCCGCTTTGCCTTGTCCTTAGACACATTCTTCTAATAAATTTGATAAAAGTTCAAAACACCAAGAAACACAAAGTGAGCATCAAGAACACAAATAATTCCTGCAATCATACAAGGCCGGATGCATTAATGTCTCAAACACTAAATGCAAGCTCAAAGTCTCAATTTTTTTTGTTAATAAAAAATCCCAATTTTTTCACGTACAAACTTCACCATGAAGACGCATGTGAAAGAGAAATATCATCTCCAAAAAATATTATATGCACCTCCTTTTGAGTCAATTCTGCTGGAAAAATCATCATCGCGGCATAATAAACGAACCGATTAACACATTCTTTACACTATAACACATGCACACATGCATTTCTCAGCTGAAACAATGAAAGCTGAGGCCGGGAAAACATGGAAAGTCTCAATCTTTCAACCATAAACATACATATGCAAATGCTAAATACAAAATGTTAAGATAGTAGTACATGACACCAAATATGCAAAGTAAAACAATCTTAATGATGTAAAGCAGGAAAACCAAGTAGTTGCAGCAAAAAGTTAAAAACCAGAACTTCGGATTGATATTAACCTTGCTTTCGGTCTGGACTTGCTTCTCTGCCAACTCTTCGCGTTGCTTTGCCTTGTCCTTAGACACCATCTTCTAATAAATATGATAAAGTTGAAAAGACCAAGAAACACAAAGTGAGCACACAAAAAAAAAAAACAAATATTTCCTGCGATCATACAAGGCCATATGCATTAATGTCTCAAACACTAAATGCATGCCCAAAGTCCCCATTTTTTTTGTTAATTCAAAGTCCCCATTTTTCACGTACAAATTTCAGAACAAATATGCACGTGAAAGAAAACATCACCTCTAACAAATATGATATGTGCCTACATTTCAAGTCAATTCTGCTAACAAAGATCATCATCGCGGCATAATAAACTAGTTGACTATAACACATGCACACATGCATTTCTCAGCTGAAACAATGAAAGCTGAGGCCGGGAAAACATGGAAAGTCTCAATCTTTCAACCATAAACATACATATGCAAATGCTAAATACAAAAAGTTAAGATACTACTTGAAACCAAATATGCAAAGTAAAAGCAAACATAATGATGTAAAACATGAAAACCAAGCAATTTGTTGTAAAATCATAACCTTGGATAGATAATAACCTTGTTTTCGGTCTGGTCTTGCTTTTCTGCCAACTCTTCCCTCCGCTTTGCCTTGTCCTTAGACACCTTCAACACAAAATGATCACCAACAAATATTTCCTGCTATCATACAAGGCCAGATGCATTAATGTCTCAAACACTAAATGCTGGCCCAAAGTCCCAATTCTTTTTGTTAATCCAAAGTCCTGATGTTTCACGGACAAATATCACCACAAAGATTCATGTGAAAGAAAAACTTCATCTCTAACAATTCTGATAAATGCCTCCATTTCGAGTCAACGGCAGCATAATAAACTAACCAATTAACATATAATTTACACTATAACATATGCATGCATGCATTTCTCAGCTGAAACAATGAGATCTGAGGCCTAGAAAACATGAAATGTCTGTCTTTCAACCATGAACACACATGCAAATGCTATATACAAAAAGTTAAGATACTACTTGAAACCAAATATGCAAAGCAAAACAAACTTAATGATGTAAAACATGAAAACCAAGCACTTGCTGTAAACACCAGAACTTCAGAATTCGGATAGATAATAACCCTGCTTTCACTCTGGTCTTGCTTCTCTGTCAACTCTTCCCCCTGCATTGCCTTGTCCTTGGACACCATCATCTAATAAATATGATATAGTTCAAAACACAAGGTGAGCACCAACAACACAAATACTTAATGCAATCATACAAGGCCAGATGCATTAATGTCTCAAACACTAAATGCAGGCCCAAAGTCCCCATTTTTCACGTACAAATTTCACTACAAAGATGCATGTGAAAGAAAATCTTCATCTTTAACAAATATGATATGTGTCTTTATTTCGAGTCAATCCCGCTGACAATGAGAGGTGAGGCCGGAAAACACGAAAAGCCTCAATCTTTCAACCCTAAACATACATATGCAATTGCTAAATGCGAAAGACGAGTGACATACCTGCTTGTTTTCTCTTCTCCGAGGGTGATTCCTTGTGCTACTCTCCTCAACAACCTCCTTCACCACCTCACCACCGTTCTCATTCCCTCCTCCTCCGCTGCCGCTTTCACTCTTTTCGCTCTCTCTCTCCTTCTCAGTTTCCTCTTGAGTCTCTCTCTCCTTCCCTTTTTCTTTTTCCTCCTTTTCCTTCAAACTCAATTCTTGAATCTTCCGAATCTCATCGAGGAAGGCAGGGTCGAGATTCGATCACGGCGGGGTCGAGTGTCCGAATCAATTCAAGGATTTCAGGATCCAGATCGGACGGCGCATGAGACGGAATAGACGGTGGATGACCACTTTGATCATCGATGGGATTTAGGCGAAAGGCGACGCCTTGAGGGAGTTCCGGTTGCCGTCCGGATCGAAAGTACCTATAAATTTCGACCAACACTGTAAATGACACCGGTAGCAGAACACGCGCCGTTGGCAACATTGGTAGTTTTTGCGCTGGCGGGGACGGCGGCTGAAACTGGGTTGCTGGGTTTGCTGTGAACTTGCAACTAGCAGCTACATTATCATTACGGATTAAATTGAGTTTTAGTTTGTTGATTAATTGTAGAAACTGGGTTTTGACTGGTTAAATCAAAGTCGTCGGCTTTTTCTGGCAGAGGCATGTTCATTGCTTTGGATTTTTTCTTTTGGAAAAGTGGAAATTGCTGCTTTTGCTTTAAAAGTGGATAATCATGTTGATTATCCTAGGTTTTTATTTTGAGGCAAAGGTTAACTTATATACCTCGTTGACTTATATGACCTGAGTACATTGTCAACTTCACAGGTCCCCTCCGGTACCTACAAACATGTTAGTTTGTAATATGGGTTCGTCTTTTTTATTGGTGTTTTCTGTGCAAGTTTAATCAATGTTACATGCAACAGACAACGCAAATGCCGCAACAAGTTCGATACACCAACAACCAAGCCATTCGAAGTTGGTCGGGGAATAGGCAACGACGACGAAATTGAAAGGATATTTCCCGACTAAACTTGTATTTTCCGGTAAAGTGACATGGATAAGAAATCATTTACACGTTTTATTCACAACTAAAAAGTTTGTGTCATCCGCGTGAAAGGGTTTGATACATTTCTAAGATTAAATTTACCAAAAGAGAGATTGCACATGTCCTTGGTGATGCGAATCCTGTGCTCTAGGCAAGCATTCATGCATAACTTATTGCACGGGCTGCAGCTGACTTGTACCATCAGTTCCAACTTCTGCTCCCAGCTATTCCCGCCCCATTAGTAGTCGCCCAGTCACCGAAAGGAAGTTGATGATCAGTACCAGATGTAGTTGAAGATGATATATGTGACGGGTGGTCAAATTGACGGATGGTGATATTTGCAATTAGATTTAAACTTGCAATCTCCCGTTCTTGAGAAATAACTGCAATCAGGTTGGCCGGGTCTTGCTGGGAACTCTTCAACTTGATTCTGGTGTGGATATTGTTTGTAGACGTTGGTCTCAGTCACTGAGTTGTTCATCATATATGGTGGACGTGCAGGCATGCTTCTTTCTGGTATATATGCTGGAGCCTGAAGGTGCAAACAGAAAAACAATTGGCATTAATATTAGGGATATCGGAAACTAATACGGATGCCAATTAACAAGTTTTGTACGCAGGAATATCAACTAAACAAATTACTACAACTATTGCAGACAGCAATTTGTCAAACTATTTGGAACTTTAAGTCCTGGTTATAGGATAGAATTCATAGCATCTGTGCATGAGCAAATTATTAGATTTATGAGCCAAAAACGAATAAAAAGCATGGCCGAAAAGTATAAGAAAATTAAACATACAAAAAATCTTGATCTCTTATCCCTCATAAACTGTTAACTAGTATACCAAAGTGATCACAGTTATTCAAACACGAGACTATAAAAAGGGAGTGTTAAGTAAAAGTACCCGATAACCATTCCATTCTGAATTTTGAGAAGAAACCCCTTGAGGTGGTGGAATCATCATTGGCGTGTAAACTGGAGCCTCATTCAATGGCCGTGGTGCCACTTTTGATTGTGATGCAACTTGTAACGATGCAGGACCATCATTGCCAAATCCAGATGGGGGATCAGATCCTCCTGTAACAGGCTCAAGTGTTATAACATCATGAAACTGTGACTAGTCCACCGGGGTACACATTGCAGATATTTGAATACAAGTCACAAAGGAAAGAACTATTACTGACATCTGAAAGCATAATTGTAATTACTGTATAAAAGGAATAAGAGAAGGTCGTGAAAAAAACATACAATTTCATGAAAACCCATCCAGTGAATGTTTGCTTACTAGCTATGAACTTGCTATAATTTGATCAAAACAGATGACACGCCTCCCCATACGATATAGGCGCATAAAGTTCAAGATTTCAGGACTCTGTGTTAACTACAAGATGAAAGATTTTAGCTTATTTATTCGGTTATGCAAGCCAACATAATTTTCAGATAAGCCGACTCCGAAAACCCCATCATCATAACAATTACCACTATGATAACAAATACATGAACTAAAACATAATATACTGATCTGTGGCATGTTGATCAAACAATATCAGTAAAAACCATGGCTTCAAATACAAAATTGCTGAGAATTACAACAATAATAACCTTGCATTCCGTCTGGCTTGGATTCTCTGCCGACTCATCCTTATCCTTTACCCTTTCCCTAGGCACCTTCAATATGAACAAATCAAAACACCGGTAAACCGAAAGTGAGAACTGTTAACTACGTTGAAATATTTGAGAATCGAAGAGAAAATGGAGAAGAAAGAGTAACTGAGAAAGATGAACTAGAGAGAAATATGAGGCTTGTATTAACTGAAAAAGAAAGATTACACAATTCTGTAAGAGAAAGTCTAACTACTCTAACCAAATACTAACAAACTGACTAACTATATCGCTAACTTGTACAATCATTTTAACTAATCATCTAACTAATGGTGTGGAACTCTTAATACTCCCCCTAAATCTCAACTGGGGAAACTCAGTTTGAGATTGGAAGAATATCTTCAATAACTACTATGAAGCTAAACTATGCAGAAACCCAACCTCTGTCTCTAGTTGATCTTTGAAGCACAAAACATTTAAGTCTATAGTCTATGCCAATCCAACCTACTAATCATCACAGCAGCTTTAGTCTTTAGAAATCTAGGAGATGAGGAAGATGCTCATAAGCAAGAAACTTGAACAGATCTCTGTTATACCACCATGGGTATACATATGCAACATATGGCACATATTCTCCGGCAAGTTCCCTGTTCCAACCATGGGAAATAATGGTATCTTATATGGACCTCAGCAGTACAAATACCCTCTTTATTTCCAGCCTCTGAATCTAACCAATGGACTTGTATTCCTCTGCCTCTAACCAGAGCTGCACAAAGAATCACATGAAGTGCCGATAAACTTTCAGATAGAGTAGACGAGGAACGTGAAGATTTTCAAAACCAATATGATCCCTTCTAACCACACACTTCATAACAGCATATACCCTTCTTTACCAGCAACAAACCAAGCAATGCCTAAGATGGATATTCCTCTCCATAACTAATGGTGTGGGACCAAGTGACTAATTGTATTTCTGCCGCCCAATATTTCTCTGCCTCTCACAGGAGTTTCAATCAAAGAACAACCTTCTATAAAGGAGTCGTAACACACCCTCATACCTGTTATAACAATTTCTTACGGGATTACCCTTCATGGGATTTACCGTACACAATCTCATTCAATATTGGCTTCGGCCTTTAATATTGACAAAAACAGAAAATTAACAAACTATAGTGTGGCATCGGCCTTAACTATAGTACCACGGGATCGCCCTTTGTGGATTTTACCATAAACAACTTCTCTTAACAATGGCATCAGCCTTCACAATTTCAACAACAGAAAATGAACATCTATGTAGGATTACCCTTCGTAGGATTTACCTACTCATAACACGGGATTACCTTTGTGGGATTTACTATCAACAACTTCTTCAAACTTCATCTTTTTCTAAGACACATATAACCGGACTTACAGTAGATACATGCTAACAACTAAGCTGGTTAGACTTGACAATACAGGATGTGATAAGGAATATACCGCACAACTCCTCAGTTAGCTCTTGAACAATCTTCTCAGACAGTACACTTCTCATGTTGGCACAAACCATAATCTGAATAACTATAAACTTGTATATGCTAGAATGCAAGAATGCACACCCATTTCTCCAAACATATCAAGAGTTGCAGAAAAATAAAACCCAACAAAAGAAACAGAGTAGAATTTCAAAGAAGTACAGAGACAAGAATCAAAACCCATCTTCAAAACCATCAAAACCCATCCTTAAGATCGCACCCTTCATCCACATTTCACTACAATTCACCTTGTTGCATACGCAAAGAAAACTCCAACTGATAGTGCCATTTTACATAATCCAACAAAATTCTTGAAATTAGGAGCACAACAGAAACACAAAAAGAATACCCAAATCTTGAACAAATATACTTCCAAAAGACAACACAAGTCACAACCAAGTAGTAGAACCATAATTCTTAACCAGCACCAAAAAACTTGAAAAACCCAGAAAAGATCCATTCTAATTGTTCAAGAATGCAGAGAAAAGGGACTTAAAACATAACCTTCACAAAAAATCTTGAGTTGTGCATTTCGTCAAACATGTGGACTACACAAAGTTTTGAGCTTTCCTCCATAGCAAAGAACAGAGCACGGATCAAAGCCACAGAAAATATTATTCAGAGAGCTGACTTGTACAATCATTTTAACTAACTATATTACTAGCAAACTTACTAACTATATTACTGACTTGTACAATCATTTTAACTAATCATCTAACTAATGGTTTGGAACTCTTAATAAGAACCAATAGCAGAAATGTTCTAATCATACAGTCTAAGCCACTCGGAGTTCGTCATCATTCTTTAACGCAAAATCTCATTGAAAATGTATGTAAACGAAAAGAACACCATTTTCAGCTACAACCCTACAAATGCAAACACATATATGGCTTTGCTGCATTGCTGCAGAATTTCAGCTGAAACTAACAGAGGATGGGCAAATATAAACTAAAAATCCAATCTTTCAACTGAATAATCGAAATAAAAGAGGTATACCTGGTTGGTTTTCCTTCTAACAAGGTGATTAAACTTGCAATTGGATCCAAACTTGCAATCATCGAGTTTGTTCTCAACAAAACCATTAGATGTAACCACTTGATCAAACTTTAAGTACCATTGTTTGGAAGCTTACTTGAGACCATAGATTGATTTCTTTAATTTACAGACCATATTCTCCTTCCCCTTTCAATAAATCCAGGGGGTTGTACCATGTAAATGTCTTCTTGAAGATCACCATTAAGGAAGGTTGTTTCTACATCCATCCGATGTAACTCAAGATCAAAGTGGGCAGTGATTGCCATAATAATTCGCATTGAATCTTTGGAAGACACTGGTGAAAAGGTATCATTATAGTCAATACCTTCTCTCTGAGTAAACCCTTTAGCAACCAACCGAGCTTTATACCTCTCAATTTGTCCTTGTGCATCCCTCTTAGTCTTATACACCCATTTACACCCTACAGGCTAGTCCTTGGCTCCACTAACAACCAAACATGATTCTTGTACATTGAGTCCAACTTCTCCTTCATTGCATTGTTCCACAAACTTGACTGTGAACTCCTTATGGCCTATGAATAAGTTGTTAGATCATCAATGTCTCCAATATTATAGTCAGTTTCTTGAAGATAACAAAGAAAATCACTTGTAATTGCAGGTTTTCTTGTTCTTGACTTCTTGTGGATCTTCTGATTTCAGGTTGAACTTGAATATTGTCAATTTGTTGTGCAACTTGCTGAGCATTATCAATTAATTCAGTAGCTTGCTAACTCAGTTCATGCTTGATTTCAGTTACTTCTTGTTGCTCCATCACTTAATCAGTTTCATTAGAATGATCAGACTCAATGTGTTGATCATTGGCTTGAGAGTACACCAAAACTGGGCAATGTTCACTTGAAGATGCTTCAATTGATGGTTGTTCAAGTTCCTCAAATATAAAGTTCTCAATGGTAAAATCTGAGACATCTTGATCTTCAAACAACCTTGCATTATGGGTTTCCTTGATTCTGGTGTGAGCCTATGCACAATAGAACTTAAACCCCTTTGATTTTTCCAAGTAACCTATGAAATAACAAGACTTCGTCCTTGGATCCAGTTTCTTTTCCTCCGGATTATAGAACCTAGCATCTGCCTTACAATCCACACATTGATTTTTCCAAGTAACCTATGAAGTAACTGTTTCCACAAATTGTTTTAGTTAGGAAATGACCACAAACATCAGTATGAATAATCTCAAGTAAATTTTTGCTTCTCTTGGCTTCAAAATTTCGAAACTTAGTTAGCTTTCCTTTGTAACAATCCACACATTCAATGGTAGTTTCAAAATCAAGTGAAGGAATCAAGTTTGCTTTTGATAGTTTAGTGATTCTTTCTTTTGATATATGACATAATCTCTTGTGCCAAAGAATGTAAGAAGTGTCAATGTTTAACATTCTCTTAATGCTTATATTTAGTGCATGATGTTCATTAAAGACCACACTACACTCCAACTGCCATAAGTTTTCAACTAAGCTAGCAATCCCTAAATTGGAATTAAGATAGTTCTTTTGAAAAAGTTGTAAACATTCATCATCACCTAGGAAGGAAAAACCATTTTTCATGAGTTTAGAGGCTGAGATCAAATTTCTTCTCATCTTTGGCACATAAAGCACATCATTCAATTGCAAAATAAAACCACAATTTAGTTTTAACCTAATTGTTCCAACAGCTTTAACTGTAACATTTGTCCCTTCCCCCACAAAAAACATTAAAACAGTTAAAACTAGCATCCTTTTGTTTTTCAAAACCATGCAGTGAGTTAGTTATGTGAACTATGGAGCCAGTATCAAACCACTATGAGTTAAAAGGAATCTCAATTAAGTTTGACTCTACACATACATTAACTATTTATTTCCCATTAGCTTTCAGATAGTCTTTAAACAGTTCACAATCTTTTCTTAAATAACCTCGAGTTTAGCAAAAAAAAAAAAAACACTTAAGCTTAGCTACATTTTTAACTTTAGGTTTAAGATTGTTAGACCCTTTGGAAGATTCAAATATTTTAGCAGAAATACCAGTCTTATCAGAATTCCTAAAATTCTTGAAGTTCTTACCTGAATTATTTCCAGCATTGTATGATTTCTTCCTTCTTCCTCCTTGCACAAAGTTCACAATCTCCGCCTCTTTGCCTTTTTCTTGCCTTTGGCAAGTCTCTTCTTGAACACATTGTGCAATTAACTCATCTACATCCCAACTCTTGTCCTGTGTTTTATAAGGCACCTTTAATTGAGAGTACTTGAATGGGAGAGTTTGAAGAATCATGAAAACAACTGCTTTTCTCCAATGCTAACATCCATTGAATTCAACTTCTTTGCAGCGTCAATCATTTTCATAATATGGTCCCTGATTGAACCAGAATTATCAATTTTGTAAGTTGTTAGCAGTGACATATATTGGTTGATCTCTGCTTTCTGTGACTCTTTGAATTTCTTCTCAATAGCCTTCAAGTAATTAGTTGCTAAATCATGTTTCTTAATGCCTCCACAAACTGTATCAGTCATACCACTCTCCATGATAGAAAGTGCCACTTTGTCGGCTCTTGTCCACCTTTCATGATCAATCTTCTTAGCTCTAGTACTCTGATCTGTGATCATTGGTCTTGGAGTATCAATGGCAATATCATACTCATTGATTGTCAATAACAATCCAATTTCTCTCCTCCATTTTTTGTAGTTACTCCCTCTAGTGAGAATTGGGATATTTGCCAAGTTCAAAGTCTTCAAGGATATTGCAGACACTGCAGATGAAATCACAATCATGAACCAATTAGGTTCCTACTTTCCTTTTGCAGTTCGCACATCAAAACTTGCATCAATGATTCATACATATAGACTTATCAACACATAGTTGACAATCATACATAGAATGACTGATTCATCGAGAACTTAGAAGATCACAATAAGATATGCAACAATAGACCGTTTTCAAATGTCTCATGCATACTGCATATGAAAATTTTGCAAGATATCGAGATAATAGTAATCTTAATTGTGAGTAGTTAGTCCTTTACAAAGAAACTTCAATCAATAATACCACATAATATTAAATTTCCTTGAAATAATTAGGATCTTGTTTTTTTTTTTTTTTTTTTTTTTTTTTTTTTTTTTTTTTTGTTAACTTACGAACCACTCAATTTCAAGGCTGAATTCATAGCATGTAGTCTAGGTTCTAATACCACATGTTAACATAAACATATAATATGAATCACAGAACTTCAAACACAAAACCACGTTCATAAACCTTTGAACATAAAACGAACACATTACATGCAGATGAATTCGAAGAGCCTGCCATGACTTGTTTCTGCAGCAAACCAGAGGTGCACCTTCTTCTCTCTTCAGTAATTAGTTTGCTCTTTACTAATAATAGGTCTTGTTTCAAAAGAATAGAGCACGGTAACTATGAGAGCAGAGGCCACTATATATATATATATATATATATATATATATATATATATCATAATCCTAGCCAAGTCCTACAAGGATTCCCCTAAGAATCCATATAGACAACAAATTCAATACACATAGTGTTTCAGCATGACATGGATTACAAATCCACTCCCAATAAGGACTTCCTATTTAATCTTGAATCAAATAACTTAATCCACATATTCATACTCATGCTCATATTCTAACATTTCTAGGTCTATATATATATATATATATATATATTGTGCGGTTCTCAGTTAAATAATTGGGCACAAGAACGTCACTTTATTTAGGTTTGCAGCAGTTGGTTCTTGCTTGTTACATGACCTTACTTTGTATCAATCTGATCATCCCACTCCCCAAGTCCGAGAGTTTGCTTGGTGCCTAAGATTGGATTTGATTTGGTAACACAGTAAATTCAAGCATGTTGAAGGACGGAAGAAACAAAGAAGTTCTGTCCGAGTTAAAAGGTAGAAGATGAAGTGCAGAGTGAAGAAAACATATCATTTTCAACCCCCTACAAAATGGTAGGATACCAACATCTCTTATAATTTATCCCTTCTAATCCTGTCCCCAGATGAAGAATCATTCACAACGACCTTCATTTCTTACTTCACCATATTTTAAAATAGCAAATTATCAAATCTAAATTCTACGCACCAAATGAGAAGGTTTGACAAATTCCCTTCAGGAGGAGGCACATACACAAGTTTTTTTTGTCAAACCTCGTAAATTCTTAGTGCACTCTCGTTTGTTTTGCTCATTGTCGAGGATCATCAAATTTTTTTGTCCCGTCGAATTATTCATCGCTCATTGTCGAGGATCATCAACTTTTTTTGTCCCGTCGAATTATTCATCGCGCTGAGAGGATCAAATAATCTCTATGTAGACACTAACTTGGTTCAAAAAACAAAATGTTTGAGTGCATCCAGCAATCTTCCCCATTGTTGGGGTTTGTTTGGTTTGGAGGTCAATAGTTAACACAATCACTTCTGTATGTAGGATTCTCCAACAAGCAAATCAAACATAATTGGGAAGTGACCATAACCACAAAGCAAAGTTGGGAGGATACTCCCCAAATTTAACCTGTATTTTCTAGTTAAATCACATCAAATACGAAACAATTTACATTGTCCGGCTTCAATTAAGTTCTTACATCCGAAAGACCGCTGGCACCTGGGTGACAAGGTTTGATACATTTCCAAGTTCAAAATAACAAAACGATTAACTCCTCTAGCTGGCGTTTCATGCAAAACTTATAACTCAGGCTGTTGCGGAATTGTAGCATCAGTCCCAGCCATACTTCCAGATGTTCAAAGGGCATGAAAATGGTAATTCGTACACCAAAATCATGAGAGGTAAATAAGACTATAATACCAGAGTGATGACATCATTCCATTCTGTAGTTTCGGAATGAATCCCATGCGATTCATAAGCGGATTGTGGGCAAGATTCTTCTGCAGGTGTAGGATCAGGATGATTATACAAGCACCTGTTTTCATACTGGCAAGTGCCAGTTCGCATATAGTGCAAACAATCTTTCTTCCCCTGTAATACGTTAAAATAATTATTCAGCGAACGTATGGACACTTGATGGTAGCTCCAACAGACTAAGAAAATAGCAAAGACAAAATCTCAAATCTTAAGCACCATGAATAGATAGATATTCATTCCTCATATTTTTGCAGATCAAACCAAGAGTTTATACCGGACGAATTGGCAGGCCCAAAAAGTTAAGTTTCAGAGCTGGAGCTACAGAGGGTTCCCTTTTACATCGTCCTGGGCAATACTGCAACAAGCTCAAGTGTTATATTAACATCAGGAAACTGTTACTATGCCGCCATGCACATTGCACAGATTTGAAAATTAATTGTAATCCTGTGTAAAAAGGAATATGTGATTGTAATGTAACACCATACAAATGTCATGAAAACACTTCGACTATAAGTTGATCACGTTCAAGACCCTCATCGTTCTATTGTTAGCTACAAGATAAAAGGTTTAAGATAACCATGTCGCCTATGAGTTGATCATGTTCAGTTGTGCATGCTAACCTACTAGCTTTCAGATAACCATATGAGAAGCCCCATCGTCACTCAAAACAGAAAGAGTTAAGATATTATGTGAAACCAAATATGCAAAGTAAAAGAAAACATCAGGATGTAAAGCATGAAAACCAAGCAATTGAAGTAAAAACCAGAACTTCGGATAGACAATAATCTTGCTTCCGGTCTGGTCTTGCTTCTGTGTCAACTTTTCACTCTACTTTGCAATGTCCTTAAACACCTTCTAAACAATATGATAAAGTTGAAAACACCAAGAAACACAAAGTGAGCACCAACAACACAAATATTTCATCCAGTCATACAAGGCCAGATGGATTACTGTTTCAAACATTAAATGCAGGTCCAAAGTAGCGATTTTTCAGTTAATCCGAGGTACCAAATTTCACCACAAAGATGCATGTGAAAGAAAAACATCATCTCTAACAAATATGACAAGTGCTTCATTTCGAGTCAATTCCACTGACAAAGATCATCATCACGGCATAATAAACTAGCCGATTAACACATTCTTTACACTATAACACATGCATACAGGCATTTTTCAGCTAAAGCATGAAACAAAGAGAGCTAAACATGAAAAGTCTAAATCTTTCAACCATAAACATAGATATGCAAATGCTAAATACAAAAAGTTAATATACTACTTGAAACCAAATATGCAAAGTAAAACAAACTTAATGATGTAAACATGAAAACCAAGCAATTGCAGTAAAAAGTTCAAAACAAGAACTTCGGATAGATAATAACCTTGTTTCTGGTCTGGTCTTGCTTCTCTGCCAACTCTCCCCTCTGCTTTGCCTTGTCCTTAAACACCTTCTAAACAATATGATAAAGTTGAAAACAACAAGAAACACAAAGTGAGCATCAACAACACAAATATTTCCTGCAATCATACAAGGCCAGATGCATTAATTTCGCAAATGCTAAATGCAGGCCCAAAGTCCCCATTTTTTTTTGTTAATCCAAAGTCCCGAATTTTCAAGTACAAATTTCACCACAAAGATGCACATGAAATTTTGAATGAAAACATCATCTCTAACAAATATGACATGTGCCTCCATTTCGAGTCAATTCTGCTGACAAAGATCATGATTGCAGCTTAATATACTAACCGGTTATAACATTCTTTACACCATAACACATGCATACATGTATTTCTCAGTTGAAACAATGAGAGCTGAAGTCGGGAAAACAAGAAAAGTCTCAATCTTTCAACAATAAACATACATAATGCTAAATACAAAAAGTTAAGATACTATTTGAAATCATCTATGCAAAGTAAAAAAACTTAATGATTTAAAACATGATGGAAAAGCAGTTAAAGCATTGCATTGAAAACCAGAACTATGGATAGATAATAACCTTGCTTTCGGTCTGGTCTTGCTTCACTGCCAACTCTTCCCTCTGCTTTGCCTTGTCCTTAGACACCTTCTAATAAATTTGATAAAGTTCAAAACACCAAGAAACACAAAGTGAGCATCAACAACACAAATATTTCCTGCAATCATACAAGGCCGGATGCATTAATGTCTCAAACACTAAATGCAAGCTCAAAGTCTCAATTTTTTTTGTTAATAAAAAATCCCAATTTTTTCACGTACAAACTTCACCACGAAGATGCATGTGAAAGAGAAATATCATCTCCAAAAAATATGATATGCACCTCCTTTTGAGTCAATTCTGCTGGAAAAATCATCATCGTGGCATAATAAACGAACCGATTAACACATGCATACATGCATTTCTTAGCTGAACCAATCAGAGCTGAGGCTGGGTAAACACGAATAGTCTCAATCTTTCAACCATAAACATACATATGCAAATGCTAAATACAAAATGTTAAGATAGTACATGACACCAAATATGCAAAGTAAAACAATCTTAATGATGTAAAGCAGGAAAACCAAGTAGTTGCAGCAAAAAGTTAAAAACCAGAACTTCGGATTGATATTAACCTTGCTTTCGGTCTGGACTTGGTTCTCTACCAACTCTTCGCGCTGCTTTGCCTTGTCCTTAGACACCTTCTTCTAATAAATATGATAAAGTTGAAAACACCAAGAAACACAAAGTGAGCACACCAAAAAAAAAAAAAAAAAACAAATATTTCCTGCGATCATACAAGGTCATATGCATTAATGTCTCAAACGCTAAATGCATGCCCAAAGTCCCCATTTTTTTTGTTAATTCAAAGTCCCAATTTTTCACGTACAAATTTCAGAACAATTATGAACAAATATGTACGTGAAAGAAAACATCACCTCTAACAAATATGATATGTGCCTACATTTCAAGTCAATTCTGCTAACAAAGATCATCATCGCGGCACAATAAACTCGCTGATTATAACACATGCATACATGCATTTCTCAGCTGAAACAATGAAAGCTGAGGCCGGGAAAACACGGAAAATCTCAATCTTTCAACCATAAACATACATATGCAAATGCTAAATGCAAAAAGTTAAGATACTACTTGAAACCAAATATGCAAAGTAAAAACAAACATAATGATGTAAAACATGAAAACCAAGCAATTTGTTGTAAAATCATAATCTCGGATAGATAATAACCTTGTTTTCGGTCTGGTCTTGCTTTTCTGCCAACTCTTCCCTCCGCTTTGCCTTGTCCTCAGACACCTCACCAACAAATATTTCCTGCTATCATACAAGGCCAGATGCATTAATGTCTCAAACACTAAATGCAGGCCCAAAGTCCCAATTCTTTTTGTTAATCCAAAGTCCTGATGTTTCACGGACAAATTTCAACACAAAGATTCATGTGAAAGAAAAACTTCAACTCTAACAATTCTGATAAATGCCTCCATTTCGAGTCAATGGCAGCATAATAAACTAACCAATTAACATATACTTTACACTACAACATATGCATGCATGCATGCATTTCTCAGCTGAAACAATGAGATCTGAGGCCTAGAAAACATGAAATGTCTGTCTTTCAACCATGAACACACATGCAAATGCTATATACAAAAAGTTAAGATACTACTTGAAACCAAATATGCAAAGCAAAACAAACTTAATGATGTAAAACATGAAAACCAAGCACTTGCTGTAAAAACCAGAACTTCGGAATTTGGATAGATAATAACCCTGCTTTTGGTCTGGTCTTGCTTCTCTGCCAACTCTTCCTCCTGCATTGCCTTGTCCTTGGACACCATCATCTAATAAATATGACATAGTTCAAAACACAAAGAAACACAAAGTGAGCACCAACAACACAAATACTTAATGCAATCATACAAGGCCATTAACGTCTCAAACACGGGGTGTATTCAATTGAGAATGTGAGAGATTTTAATGGATTTATAAATCCATGGATTTTTATGGAGTTTAATTGATTTGTAGAGATTCCATATAAAATTTTGATTGAATTCCCTCGAAATCTCATGGAAAGAGGTGAGATTTGTGGATACTTAAAATACACTACGAAATCTCTCAAATTCCCTCAAATTCCTCAACTTGCTCAAATTCTTTAAAATCAATTTCTAATTGAATACACCTGGAATGTTATAAACTTCTTTAAAATCTTAATTGAATACACCTGGATTTCTAAGGATTTTAATAAACTATTTTAAAATTCTAATTGAATACACCTGGATTTCTAAGGATTTTAATAAACTATTTTAAAATTCTAATTGAATACACCTAGAATTTCAGAGAATCACTTAAAATCCTGATTGAATACCCCTAAATTCATTAAAAGAATTAAAATCCCTTAAAATCTCAATTGAATACAACCCAATTTTTCACGTACAAATTTCACTACAAAGATGGATGTGAAAGAAAATCTTCATCTTTAACAAATATGATATGTGTCTTTATTTCGAGTCAATCCCGCTGACAAACATCATCGTCACGGCATAATAAACTAACCGATTAACACATTCTTTATACTATAACACATGCATATATGCATTTCTCAGCTGAAACAATGAGAGGTGAGGCCGGAAAACACGAAAAGCCTCAATCTTTCAACCGTAAACATACATATGCAATTGCTAAATGCGAAAGACGAGTGACATACCTGCTTGTTTTCCCTTCTCCGAGGGTGATTCCTTGTGCTACTCTCCTCAACAACCTCCTTCACCACCTCACCACCGTTCTCATTCCCTCCTCCTCCGCTGCCGCTTTCGCTCTCTCTCTCCTTCTCAGTTTCCTCTTGAGTCTCTCTCTCCTTCCCTTTTTCTTTTTCCTTCTTTTCCTTCAAACTCAATTCCTGAATCTTCCGAATCTCATCGAGGAAAGCAGGGTCGAGATTCCTAATCCATTCGATCACGGCGGGGTCGAGTGTCCGAATCAATTCAAGGATTTCAGGATCGAGATCGGACGGCGCATGAGACGGAATAGACGGTGGATGACCACTTTGATCATCGATGGGATTTAGGCGAAAGGCGACGCCTTGAGGGAGTTCCGATTGCCGTCCGGATCGAAAGTACCTATAAATTTCGACCAACACTGTAAATGACACCGGTAGCAGAACACGCGCCGTTGGCAACATTGGTAGTTTTTGCGCTGGCGGGGACGGCGGAGGCGGCGGCTGAAACTGGGTTGCTGGGTTTGCTGTGAACTTGCAACTAGCAGCTACATTATCATTACGGATTAAATAGAGTTTTAGTTGGTTGATTAATTGTAGAAACTGGGTTTTGACTGGTTAAATCAAAGGCGTCGGCTTTTTCTAGCAGAGGCATGTTTGGATTGCTTTTCAATTCCAAAGATACTTTGGAAAAGCGGACACTCGTGTACTTAGATGCACTAGCTACAGTGCCTTTACGTGAACACCTATTACTTCGATACGAAGGAATCATAAACCATAAAAGCTTTGAGCTACTTTACAACTCTCAAGATGTTTCAAAATCTCTGCTGAATCATAAACCGATAAGCTTTAAGCTAATTGAATCATAAATCAATAAGCTTTGAGTTATTTTATAACTCTCAAAATGTTTCAAAATCTCAACTGAATATACCGCATACTCTGTCATTTTGATTATCCTAAGTTTTAATTTTGGGGCAAAGGTTGACTTATATGACCTCAGTTGACGCATGCGTTGAGTTATATGACCTGAGTTCACTGTCAACTTCACAGGTCCCCTCCGGTACCTACAAACATGTTATTTTGTAATATGGGTTCGTCTTTTTCATTGGTGTTTTATGTGCGAGTTTAATCAATGTTAGTGTTTTATGTGTGAGTTTAATCAATGTTACATGCAACAGACAACGCAAACGCCGCAACAAGTTCGATACACAACAAAAGATGCCAGCAGAAATTTATGGGGTGAGATCAACAAGCCATTTGAAGATGCTCGGGGAATAGGCAACGACGACGAAATTGAAAGAATATTACCCGACTAAACTTGTATTTTCCGGTAAAGTGACATGGATAAGAAATCATTTACACGTTTCATTCACAATTAAAAAGTTTGTGTCATCCGTGTGAAAAGGTTTGATACATTTCTAAGATTAAATTTACCGAAAGAGAGATTACACATGTCCTCGGTGATGCGAATCCTGTGCTCTATGCAAGCATTCATGCATAACTTATTGCACGGGCTGCGGTTGACTTGTACCATCAGTTCCACTTCTGCTCCCAGCTATTCCCGCCCCATTAGTAGTCGCCCAGTACCACATATATGACAAGCAAAGTGCGACTCCATTTGCAAAATTGCTCCACAGAACCATTTACTTTCCAAAGAATCTTTGGTATAGGCATCGAATAGCCAGAAAATTACATAGAATCACAAAAAAAATCAAAGCCACTCCAGAGAGGAATGAAAGATATGGTGTCTCTACAATAAAAGGAACAAGTTCGGATAGTGTTCCCAGATGGGTGAAGAACAAAGCCGAGTCTTCTCTTTATATTATGGAAGACGAACTAATCGGGATTGAAGACAAGAAGCAAACGTTAATGGCATGCGATCTGTAATGTGTGCAAATGTTCTGATCCTGGATTTTGAACAAATTTTGTGCGATCATGTAATATGGAATCAAACTGAGGCTCTCATCATAGACAGGAGAGGAGACAACAATTAGTCAATAATCTTTATGATTCAGGAACAAAGCGAAAAAACCCTTCCTAAGGTCATATTCCGAAATCAGGAACTCATTACCAAAGTCAAAAGAAGAGCTTACTGGTCTCAACGGCAGGCCTTTGTCACCGAGTGTGAATGGGGGGCTACGGCAGTCTGAGTTTTTGGATGGTGATATTTGCAATTAGATTTAAACTTGCAATCTCCCGTTCTTGAGAAATAACTGCAATCAGGTTGGCCAGGTCTTTCTGGGAACTCTTCAACTTGATTCTGGTGTGGATATTGTTTGTAGACGTTGGTCTCAGTCACTGAGTTGTTCATCATATATGGTGGACGTGCAGGCATGCTTCCTTCTGGTATATATGCTGGAGCCTAAAGGTGCAAACAGAAAAACAATTGGCATTAATATTAGGGATATCGATATGTTTCAACCCCCAATAAATGGTAGGATACCAACATCTCTTATAACTTATCCCTTCTAATCCCGTCCCCACATGAAGAATCATTCACAACGACCTTCATTTCTTACTTCACCGTATCTTAAAATAGCAAATTATCAAATCTAATTCTACGCACCAAATGAGAAGGTTTGACAAATTCACTTCAGGAGGAGGCACATACACCAAGTTTTTTTTGTCAAACCTCGTAAATTCTTGATGCACTCTTGTTTGTTTTGCTCATTGTCGTCGAGGATCATCAATTTTTTTTTTGTCCCGTCGAATTATTCATCGCGAGGAGAGGATCAAATAATATCTATGTAGACACTAACTTGGTTCAAAAAACAAAATGTTTGAGTTCATCCAGCAATTCTTCCCCATTGTTGGGGTTTGTTTGGTTTGGAGGTCAATAGTTAACACAATCACTTCTGTAGGTAGGATTATCCAACAAGCAAATCCAAGATAATTGGGAAGTGACCATAACCACAAAGCAAAGTTGAGAGGACACTCCCCAAATTTAACCTGTATTTTCTAGTAAAATCGCTTCAAATACGAAATGATTTACATTTTCCGGCTTCAATTAAGTTCTTACATCCGAAAGACCGCTGGCAGCTGGGTGACAAGGTTTGATACATTTCCAAGTTCAAAATAACAAATCGATTAACTCCTCTAGCTGGCGTTTCATGCAATACTTATAACTCAGGCTGTTGCGGAATTGTAGCATCACTCCCAGCCATACTTCCAGATGTTCAAAGGGCATGAGAAGGAAAAGAAAGAAGTCAAAACACGAAAAGATCCGACTATTATCCCTAAAAAAATGGTAACTCGTACATCAAAATCATGAAAGGTAAATAAACACAAGACTATAATACCTGAGTGATGACACCCTTCCATTCTGCAGTTTCAGCATACTTCCAGATGTTCAAAGGGCATGAGAAGGAAAAGAAAGAAATCAAAACACGAAAAGATCCGACTATTATCCCTAAAAAAATGGTAATTCGTACATCAAAATCATGAGAGGTAAATAGACACAAGAGTATAATACCGGAGTGATGACATCATTCCATTCTGCAGTTTCGGAATGAATCCCATGAGATTCATAAGTGGATTGTGGGCGAGATTCTTCTAAAGGTGTAGGATCAGGGTGATTAAACAAGCAGTTGTTTTCATACTTGCAAGTGCCAGTTTGCATATAGTGCAAACAATCTGCCTTCCCCTGTAATACGTTAAAATAATAATTCAGCGAATACATGGACACTTGATAGTAGCTCCAACAGACTAAGAAAATAGCAAAGACAAAATCTCAAATCTTAAGCACCATGAATAGATAGATATTCATTCCTCATATTTTTGCAGATCAAACTGAGAGTTTACCGGACGAATTGGCAGGCCCAAAAAGTTAAGTTCCAGAGCAGGAGCTACAGAGGGTTCCCCTTTACATTGTCCAGGGCAATACTGCAACAAGCTCAAGTGTTATATTAACATCATGAAACTGTTACTAGGCCGCCATGCACATCGCACAGATTTGAATAGGAGGCTACAAAGGGAAAGAAATGTCATTCACAATTTAAAAATTAATTGTAATCCTGTATAAAAAGGAATATGTGATTGTAATGTAACACCATACAATTGTCATGAAAACACATCGACTATAAGTTGATCACATTCAAGACCCTCATCGTTCTATAGTTAGCTACAAGATAAAAGGTTTAAGATAACCACGTCGCCTATGAGTTGATCATGTTCAGCTGTGCATGCTAACCGACCAGCTTTCAGATAAACCATATAAGAAGCCCCATCGTCACTCAAAACAGAAAGAGTTAAGATATTACATGAAACCAAATATGCAAAGTAAAAGAAAACTTAAGGATGTAAGGCATGAAAACCAAGCAATTGAAGTTCAAAACCAGAACTTCGGATAGATAATAATCTTGCTTCCGGTCTGGTCTTGCTTCTCTGTCAACTCTTCACTCTGCTTTGCCTTGTCCTTAGACACCTTCTAAACAATATGATAAAGTTGAAAACACCAAGAAACACAGAGTGAGCACCAACAACACACATTTCATCCAGTCATACAAGGCCAGATGCATTAATGTTCCAAACACTAAATGCAGGTCCAAAGTCGCCATTTTTCAGTTAATCCGAAGTACCAATTTTCACGTACAAATTTCACCACAAAGATGCATGTGAAGGAAAAACATCATCTCTAACAAATATGACAAGTGCATCATTTCGAGTCAATTCTACCAACAAAGATCATCATCACAGCATAATAAACTAACCGATTAACACTCTTTACACTATAACACATGCATGCATGCATTTTTTCTGCTAAAGCATCAAACAAAGAGAGATAAACACGAAAAGTCTCAATCTTTCAACCATAAACATACATATGCAAATGCTAAATACAAAAAGTTAAGATACTACTTGAAACCAAATATGCAAAGTAAAACAAACTTAATGATGTAAACTTGAAAACCAAGCAATTGCAGTAAAAAGTTCAAAACCAGAACTTTGGATAGATAATAACCTTGTTTTTGGTTTGGCCTTGCTTCTCTGCCAACTCTCCCCTCTGCTTTGCCTTGTCCTTAGACGCCTTCTAAACAATATGATAAAGTTGAAAACACCAAGATACACAAAGTGAGCACCAACAACACAAATATTTCATCCAGTCATACAAGGCCAGATGCATTAATGTTTCAAACACTAAATGCAGGTCCAAAGTTGCCATGTTTCAGTTAATCCGAAGTACCAGTTTTCACGTACAAAGTTCACCACAGATGATTGTGAAAGAAAAACATCATCTCTAACAAATATGACAGTTGCTTCATTTCGAGTCAATTCCACTGACAAAGATCATCATCACGGCATAATAAACTAACCGATTAACACATTCTTTACACTATAACACATGCATTTTTCAGCTAAAGCATGAAACGAAGAGAGCTAAACACGAAAAGTCTCAACCTTTCAACCATAAACATACATATGCAAATGCTAAATACAAAAAGTTAAGATACTACTTGAAACTAAATATGCAAAGTAAAACAAACTTAATGATGCAAACATGAAAACCAAGCAATTGCAGTAAAAAGTTCAAAACCAGAACTTCGGATAGTTAATAACCTTGTTTTTGGTTTGGCCTTGCTCCTCTGCCAACTCTCCTCTCTGCTTTGACTTGTCCTTAGACACCTTCTAAACAATATGATAAAGTTGAAAACACCAAGATACACAAAGTGAGCACCAACAACACATATTTCATCCAGTCATACAAGGCCAGATGCATTAATGTTTCAAACACTAAATGCAGGTCCAAAGTCGCCATTTTTCAGTTAATCCGAAGTACCAATTTTCACGTACAAATTTCACCACAAAGATGCATGTGAAGGAAAAACATCAGCTCTAACAAATATGACAAGTGCATCATTTCGAGTCAATTCTACCAACAAAGATCATCATCACAGCATAATAAACTAACCGATTAACACTCTTTACACTATAACACATGCATGCATGCATTTTTTCTGCTAAAGCATCAAACAAAGAGAGATAAACACGAAAAGTCTCAATCTTTCAACCATAAACATATATATGCAAATGCTAAATACAAAAAGTTAAGATACTACTTGAAACCAAATATGCAAAGTAAAACAAAAAAACTTAATGACGTAAACATGAAAACCAAGCAATTGCAGTAAAAAGTTCAAAACCAGAACTTCAGATAGATAATAACCTTGTTTTTGGTCTGGCCTTGCTTCTCTGCCAACTCTCCCCTCTGCTTTGCCTTGTCCTTAGACACCTTCTTCTAATAAATATGATAAAGTTCAAAACAGCAAGAAACACAAAGTGAGCACCAACAATACAAATATTTCCTACAATCATACAAGACCATATGCATTAATGTCTAAAACGCTAAATGCAGACCCAAAGTACCGATTTTTCAATTACAAATTTCACCACAAAGATGCATGTGAAAGAAAACGTCATCTCTAACAAATATGATAAGTGCCTCCATTTCGATTTTTCGAGTCAATTGCGCTGACAAAGATCACCAACACAGCATAATAAACTAACCAATCAACACATTCTTTACACTATAACACATGCATACATGCATTTCTCAGCTAAAGCCTGAAAAATTGAGGGCTGAGGCTGGGAAAACATGAAAAGTCTCAATCTTTCAACCATAAACATAGATATGCAAATGCTAAATACAAAAAGTTAAGAAACCACTTGAAACAAAATATGCGAAGTAAAACAATCTTAATGATGTAAAACATGAAAACCAAACAGTTGCATTTAAAAGTTCAAAACCAGAACTTCGGATAGATAATTACCTTGCTTTCGGTCTGGTCTTGCTTCTCTGCCAACTCTTCCCTCTGCTTTGCCTTGTCCTTAGACACCTTCATCTAATAAATATGATAAAGTTCAAAATACCAAGAAACACAAAATGAGCACCAAAAACACAAATATTTCATGCAATCATAGAAGGCCATAAGCATTAATGTCTCATACGCTAAATGCAGGCCCAAAGTCCCCATTTTTTTTGTTAATCCAAAGTCCAAAGTTTTCATGTACAAATTTCACCAAGCATGTGAAAGGAAAAAAATCATCTCTTAACAAATATGATATGTGCCTCCATTTCAAGCCAATTCCGCTGACAAAAATCATCATCGCGGCATAACAAACTAACAATTAAGATTAACACATTCTTTAATTACACTATAGCACATGCATACATGCATTTCTCAGCTGAGACAATGAGTGTTGAGGCCTGGAAAACACGGAAAGTCTCAATCATTCAACCATAAACATACATAAGCAAATGTTAAATACAAAACTTTAAGATACAACTTGAAACCAAATATGCAAAGTAAAACTAACTTAATGATGTTAAACATGAAAACCAAGTAGTCGCAGTAAACAACCAGAACATCAGATAGATCAGAACCTTGCTTTCGGTATGGTCTTGATTCTCTGCCAACTCTTCCTTCTGCTTTGCCTTGTCCTTAGACAGCTTCTTCTAATAGATATGATGAAGTTCAAAACACAAAGAAACACAAAGTGAGCACCAACAACACAAATATTTCCTGCAATAATACAATGCCAGATGCATTAATTTCACAAACGCTAAATGCTGGCCCAGAGTCCCCCATTTTTTTTTGTTAATCCAAAGTCCCGAATTTTCAAGTACAAATTTCACGACAAAGATGCATGTAAAAGAAAAACTTCATCTCTAACAAAAAATAGTGCCTCCATTTCGAGTCAATTTCGCTGACAAAGATCATCATCATGGTATAATAGACTAACCGATCAACACATTCTTTACACTATAACACATGCATACATGCACTTTTCAGCTAAAGCATGAAACAAAGAGTGCTAAACACGAAAAGTTTCAATCTTTCAACCATAAACATACATATGCAAATGCTAAATACAAAAAGTTATGATACTACTTGAAACAAAATATGTGAAGTAAAACAAACTCAAGATGTAACACATGAAAACCAAGCAGTTGCAGTAAAAAGTTCAAAACCAGAACTTCGGATAGATAATGACCTTGCTTTCGGTCTGGTCTTGCTTCTCTGCCAACTCTTCTGTCTGCTTTGCCTTGTCCTTCGACACCTTCGTCCAAAAAATATGATAAAGTTCAAAATACCAAGAAACACAAAATGCGCACCAAAACATAAATATTTCATGCAATCATAGAAGGCCATAAGCATTAATGTCTCAAATGCTAAATCAGGCCCAAAGTCCCGATTCTTTTTGTTAATCCAAAGTCCAAATTTTTAATGTACAAATTTCACCAAAAAAGTTGCATGTGAATGAAAAACATCATCTCTACAAATATGATATGTGCCTCCATTTTGAGTCAATTCCTGCTGACAAATATCATCAATAGAAGCATAATAAACTAACCAATTAACACATTCTTTACACTATAACACATGCATTCATGCATTCCTCAGCTGAAACAATGAGAGCTGAGGGTGGGAAAACACGAAAAAGTCTCAATCTTTCAACCATAAAAATACATACGCAAGTGCTAAATACAAAAAATTAAGATACTACTTGAAACCATGTACGCAAAGTAAAACAAACTTAATGATGTAAAACAAGAAAACCAAGCAGTTGCAATAAAAAAGAACTTCGGATAGATAATAACCTTGATTTTGGTCTGGTCTTGCTTCTCTGCAAACTCCTCCCTCTGCTTTGCTTTCTCCTTAGACACCTTCTATTAAATAGATAAAGTTCAAAACACCAAGAAACACAAAGGGAGCATCAACAAAATAAATATTTCGAGCTTATGATAAAGGCCAGATGCATTAAATCTCAAATACTAAATTATGGCCCAAAGTCCAAATTTTTTTGTTATTCCAAAATCCCAAATTTTCACATACAAATTTCACCACAAAGCTGCATATGAAATTATGAATGAAAACATCATCTCTAACAAATATGACATGTGCCTCCATTTCAAGTCAATTCTGCTGACAAAGATCGTGATCGTAGCTTAATAAACTAACCGGTTATAACATTCTTTACACCATAACACATGCATACATGCATTTCTCAGTTGAAACAATGAGAGCTGAAGTCGGGAAAACAAGAAAAGACTCAATCTTTCAACAATAAACATACATATGAAAATGCTAAATACAAAAAGTTAAGATACTACTTGAAATCATATATGCAAAGTAAAACAAACTTAGTGATGCAAAACATTAAAAGCAGTTGCATTGAAAACCAGAACTATGGATAGATAATAACCTTGCTTTCGGTCTGGTCTTGCTTCACTGCCAACTCTTCCCTCTGCTTTGCCTTGTCCTTAGTCACCTTCTTCTAATAAATTTGATAAAGTTCAAAACACCAAGAAACACAAAGTGAGCATCAACAACACAAATATTTCCTGCAATCATACAAGGCCGGATGCATTAATGTCCCAAACACTAAATGCAGGCTCAAAGTCTCAATTTTTTTGTTAATAAAAAATCCCAATTTTTTCACGTACAAACTTCACCACAAAGATGCATGTGAAAGAGAAATATCATCTCCAAAAAATATGATATGCGCCTCCATTTTGAGTCAATGCCGCTGGAAAAATCATCTTCGCGGCATAATAAACGAACTGATTAACATATTCTTTACACTATAACAGATGCATACATGCCTTTCTTAGCTGAATCAATCAGAGCTGAGGCTGGGTAAACACGAATAGTCTCAATCTTTCAACCATAAACATAAATATGCAAATGCTAAATACAAAATGTTAAGATAGTACATGAAACCAAATATGCAAAGTAAAACAATCTTAATGATGTAAAGCAGGAAAACCAAGTAGTTGCAGCAAAAAGTTAAAAACCAGAACTTCGGATTGATATTAACCTTGCTTTCGGTCTGGACTTGCTTCTCTACCAACTCTTCCCGCTGCTTAGCCTTGTCCTTAGACACCTTCTAATAAATATGATAAAGTTGAAAACACCAAGAAACACAAAGTGAGCACAAAAAAAATACAAATATTTCCTGCAATCATACAAGGCCATATGCATTAAAGTCTCAAATGCTAAATGCATACCCAAAGTCCCCATTTTTTTTGTTAATTCAAAGTCCCCATTTTTCACGCACAAATTTCAGAACAAATATGCATGTGAAAGAAAACATCACCTCTAACAAATATGATATGTGCCTACATTTCAAGTCAATTCTGCTAACAAAGATCATCATAGCGGCATAATAAACTAACTGACTATAACACATGCATACATGCATTTCTCAGCTGAAACAATGAAAGCTAAGGCTGGGAAAACGCGGAAAGTCTCAATCTTTCAACCATAAACATGCGTATGCAAATGCTAAATACAAAAGGTTAAGATACTACTTGAAACCAAATGTGCTAAGTAAAAACAAACATAATGATGTAAAACATGAAAACCAAGCAATTGTTGTAAAATCATAACTTTGAATAGATAATAACCTTGTTTTCGGTCTGGTCTTGCTTTTCTGCCAACCCTTCCCTCGGCTTTGCCTTGTCGTTAGACACCTCCAACACAAAGTCGCCAACAATTATTTCCTGCTATCATACAAGGCCGGATGCATTAATGTTTCAAACACTAAATGCAGGCCCAAAGTCCCAATTTTTTTTGTTAATCCAAGGTCCTGATGTTTCATGTACAAATTTCACCACAAAGATGCATGTGAAAGAAAAACTTCATCTCTAACAATTATGAGAAATGCCTCTATTTTCAAGTCAACGGCAGCATAATACACTAACCAATTAATACATACTTTACACTATAACATATGCATGCATGCATTTCTCGGCTGAAACAATGAGAGCTGGGGCCTAGAAAACATGAAATGTCTGTCTTTCAACCATAAACACACATGCAAATGCTATGTACAAAAAGTTAAGATACTACTTGAAACCAAATATGCAAAGCAAAACAAACTTAATGATGTAAAACATGAAAACCAAGCACTTGCTGTAAAAACCAGAACTTCGGAATTCAGATAGATAATAACCTTGCTTTCGGTCTGGTCTTGCTTCTCTGCCAACTCTTCCCCCTGCATTGCCTTGTCCTTGGACACCTTCATCTAATAAATATTAGATAGTTCAAAACACAAAGAAACACAAAGTGCCAACAACACAAATACTTAATGCAATCATACAAGGCCATTAATGTCTCAAGCACTAAATGCAGGCCCAAAGTCCTGATTTTTCACGTACAAATTTCACTACAAAGAAGCATGTGAAAGAAAATCCTCATCTTTAACAAATATGATATGTGTCTCCATTTCGAGTCAATCCCGCTGACAAACATCATCGTCACGGCATAATAAACTAACCGATTAACACATTATTTATACTATAACACATGCATACATGCATTTCTCAGCTGAAACAATGAGAGGTGAGGCCGGAAAACACGAAAAGCCTAAATCTTTCAACCCTAAACATACATATGCAATTGCTAAATGCGAAAGACGAGTGAAATACCAGCTTGTTTTTCCTTCTACGAGAGCGTTTACTTGTGCTACTCTCCTCAACAACCTCCTTCACCACCTCACCACCGTTCCCATTCCCTCCTCCCCCGCTGCCGCTTTCGCTCTTTTCGCTCTCTCTCTCCTTCTTAGTTTCTTCTTGAGTCTCTCTCTCCTTCCCTTCTTTGTCCTCCTTTTCCTTCAAACTCAATTCCCGACTCTTCCGAATCTCATCGAGGAAGGCAGGGTCGGGATTCCTAATCCATTCGATCACGGCGGGATCGAGTGTCCGAATCAATTCAAGGATTTCAGGATCGAGATCCGACGGCGCAGGAGACAGAATAGACGGTGGATGACCACTTTGATCATCGACGCGGTTGTTGTTAATGGGATTTAGGGGAACGGCGACGCCTTCAAGGAATTCCGATTGCAGTCCGGATCGATAGTACCTATAAATTTCGACCAACTCTGTAAATGACACCGGTTGCAGAACACCCGTTGGCAACATTGGTAGATTTTGTGCTGGCGGGGACGGCGGCTGAAACTGGGTTGCTGGGTTTGCTGTGAACTTGCAACTAGCAGCTAGCAGCTACATTATCATTACGGATTAAATTGAGTTTTAGTTGGTTGATTAATTGTAGAAACTGGGTTTTGACTGGTTAAATCAAAGTCGTCTGCTTTTTCTAGCAGAGGCATGTTTGGATTGCTTAATTCCAAAGCTGCTTTTGGAACAGTGCATACTCATGTACTTAGATGCACTAGCTACAGTGCCTCTACCAGAACACCTCTTCCTTCGTTGCAACGGAAACATAAACCTTTAAGCTACTTTAAAACTTAAAACTTGATGTTTCAAAATCTTAACTGAATCATAAACCGATAAAGCTTTGAGTTATTTAATAACTCTCAAGGACTAAGCTGGACTGTCTCGGACTGGACTAGCTTCAAGGACTAAGCTGGACTGGCTTAGACTAGACTAAACTGGACTAGCTTAGTGAAGCGTTTGGTGCAGTGTCGGACTAAGAAGCAAGATAATGAAAACAATACTGTCACCAGTTTGATGTTTGCTCAGACTAGGACTACATTATTGTTCTATTTTAATTACTTTTTTATTAAAGATATTATTAAAATTAATAATATTTGATGAGAGTGAGACTCAATAAAAATACAAAAACCAAATTTTCTTGCCAACGAAAGAAACATACATGATTCAAGAGTAGCATTATTCCAAACAACAATATAACAAAATGTTCTCCCAACAAATCAAACGATGTTACATGAAAGCAACAAATCAAACATCTAATAACTAAAGAAAATAAACCACCGTAAACAAAACATAGATCATGTAAAAGAGGCCTTAATCGGGCATCAAAATTTGATACAACAGCTACTTTAACACCTGCTTTCCTCAGAGCTTCAACCACCTTCTCAGCATCAGGATCACAGAGATGCCAAGCCTATGAGAAAACAAAGAAAAATATTATAACCCACTTCACACCTCTATATTGCTATACAGAAAATGGTACTTAAATATCACCCAACCTTGTCAGTCGTATAGTAGTTATAAAGTTCTTCAAAGCACTGAGAATCGGAACAGCCAGTGGAAGAACTGACTATATATTGCCAGAAGGGTCTCCCATCATTTACATATCTACAATGAAAAAAGAGAAAATGCTCACCTTAAAGATAAAAGAGAAAATCAGAGAATTCACTCCAAACATGGCATAATATTGCTAAACTTCTGCATTAACTAATTGAGATTAAGGGGGACACTAAAAAGAAACAGAAAGAAAGGATTCACTTCTACTTGACCAATCCCATTGAAAACACGATGGCTAGATGGGGGAAAATTCTACGCTAGACTTTAGGGGACTGTCAATATATTTCCAAAATACAAGGAACCACAAGACCATTCCTACGTCTTCACATTTCCTTATCCAGTAGCCCTCCGCTCCCCCATCACCACACTCGGGAGATTTATCTACAACAACTAGTAGTCGATCCCATGATCTATTAGGTAGAAAATGCAAAAGGTTCAAGGTAGAACGAGAATCGTTCGATAACTTCCTCACTCCCTCCCACTGAAGCACAAATTTAATTGAAAGTCTGAAACAGTTCAATCTTTGCCATGTTCAACGGTCAAGCCAGAACGAGACGGGTGATGAAATCACAAAAACTTATGTATTCATATGGGCAGTAAGAATGGAAACTTTGAGCCATCAGAAGGGATTAGATCACAGTAATCCTTTTCACTGTTCCAGTCCATGTAAATGGTTATAACCTGGATCTCAAAGCCCTTGCGCAATTTCCCAACATCATCTGGCAGACTTACTACAAATTCTATCAACAATCAAGAACGAACCCTAAATCAAACATTTGTGTCAAGCCATGGATTATATGAGATCCCAAACAAAAAGCTAAGAGTATCTACTGCACCAAAATCTGATAAATACTTTAATCCACCCCCCCCAACACACACAAAAAGTAGAAATTCTCATTTCGGATTACAAAGTAATTGAACAGCAGAAACTGACAAATATGTGAAAGAAAGAAATTTCGCATCAAAATTGACAGAACATTGAAAGAAAGCAAGGATTTTTAGCAAAAAATTGAATTAATTCGAGATGGGTTGAAAGAATTACAGTGAATTTTGTGACAGAGACGAAGCAGAAGAGCGACGGCGGCCAAGGCGTTCGTTTAGGGCAGGCTGGGAGCAAAGAAAATTGAGAGGGTAACCTTGAGTAGAAGTTAGGCTGGACTGGGGAAAGAGAGCTTGTTCTTTGCCGTCGATCGAGCAAGGCGAGGAGTCGAGCGAGACGACGCGAGAGAGAGGTAGTCTTAGCAGTCCGCTCAGATTTGGGGGTCTCGCTAGGACCACCTAACGAAGGAGTTAGTGAAAGCGAGTCCCACTTAATACCATTAAACTTAGTCCTAGTAGCCAACAAACAGAGGATTACACTAAAAATTAGTCCAGTCCAGTCCATGTTAGTGAAGCCAAACAAACGTAGCATTAAGCTACTTTAAAACTTAAAACTTGATGTTTCAAAATCTTAACTGAATCATAAACCGATAAAGCTTTGAGCTATTTAATAACTCTCAAAATATTTCAATTTTAACTGAATACACCGCTTACTCTCTTATTTTGATTATCTTACGTTTTTAATTTGGGCCAAAGGTTTACTTATATGGAAGAGCATCCTTTCTTGAGCTCAGGATGAGGATCATTCTGACCACGAAATTCGGATAGTTCAAATTTAATTCAACAGCTCCAAACAGGATGACCCTCTAAAAATTATAATAATTGCAACCGTTGGATTAAATTTGAACGGTCCTGATTTCGTGGTCATGAGGAGCCCCATCTTGAGGTCAGGAGAGGATCCTCTTCCTACTTATATGACCTTGTATACGTTGACTCATATGATATGAGTTCACCATCAACTTCATACATTCCCTCCCGGTGCCGTGACCTACAAACATGTTATTTGTAATATGGGTGTCTTTTTCAATGGTGTTTGATATGCAAGTTTAATCAACGTTTAGGTTTTTATTTTGAGTCAAGGGCTAATTTATATTACCTCAGTTAACTTATACGTTGACTTATATGACTTGAGTTTACCGTCACCTTCACAGGTCCCCTCCGGTGCCATGACCTACAAAAATGTTATTTTGTAATATGGGTTCGTCTTTTTCATTGGTGTTTTATGTGCAAGTTTAATCAATGTTACATGCAACAGACAACGCAAACGCCGCAACAAGTTCGATACACAACAGAAGCTGCCGGCAGAAATTTATGGAGTGAGTTCAACAACCAAGCCACTTGAAGATGCTCGGGGAATAGGCAACGACGACGAAATTGAAAGGATATTCCCCCGACTAAACTTGTATTTTCCGGTAAAGTGACATGGATAAGAAATCATTTACACGTTTCATTCACAACTAAAAAGTTTGTGTCATCGCGTGAAAGGGTTTGATACATTTCTAAGATTAAATTTACCAAAAGAGAGATTGCACATGTCCTCGGTGATGCAAACCCTGTGCTCTAGGCAAGCATTCATGCATAACTTATTGCACAGGCTGCGGCTGACTTGTACCATCAGTTCCACTTCTGCTCCCAGCTATTCCCGCCCCATTAGTAGTCGCCCAGTCACCATAAGGAAGTTGATGATCAGGACCAGATGTAGTTGAAGATGATATATGTGACGAGTGGTCAAATTTACAAGCTGGCCCAAATTTGCAAATGCCGTAGCGACTGTAATGTGTGCAAATGTTCTGATCCTGGATTTTGAAACAAATTTTGTGTGATCAATGACATGCAATCATGTAATATGTAATCAAACGGAGGCTCTCATCATCGAGGGGAGGGGAGACAACAATTAGTCAAAAATCTTTATGATTCAGGAACAAGGTGAAAAGAAAAAAAACCCTTTCTAAGGTCATATTCCGAAATCAGGAACTCATTACCAAACACGGTCAAAAGAAGAGCTTACTGGTCTCAACGGCAGGCCTTTGTCACTGAGTGTGAATAGGGGGGCTACGGCAGTCTGAGTTTTTGGATGGTGATATTTGCAATTAGATTTAAACTTGCAATCTCCCGTTCTTAAGAAATAACTGCAATCAGGTTGGCCAGGTCTTTCTGGGAACTCTTCAACTTGAATCTGGAGTGGATATTGTTTGTAGACGTTGGTTTCAGTCACTGAGTTGTTCATCATATACGGTGGACGTGCAGGCATGCTGCTTTCTGGTATATATGCTGGAGCCTAAAGGTGCAAACAGAAAAACAATTGGCATGACAATTAATATTAGGGATATCAGAAACTAATATGGATGCCAATTAACAAGCTTCGTACGCAGGAATATCAACTAAACAAATTACTACAACTATTGCAGACAGCAAATTGTCAAACTATTTGGAACTTTAAGTCCTGGTTATAGGATAAAATTCATAGCATCTGTGCATGAGCAAATTATTAGATTTATGAGCCAAAAATGAATAAAAAGCATGGCCGAAAAGTATAAGAAAGTTAAACATACAAAAAGATCTTGATCTCTTATCCCTCATAAACTGTTAACTAGTATACCAAAGTGATCACAGTTATTCAAACACGAGACTATAAAAAGGGAGTGTTAAGTAAAAGTACCCGACAACCATTCCATTCTGAATTTTGAGAAGAAACCCCTTGAGGTGGTGGAATCATCATTGGCGTGTAAACTGGAGCCTCATTCAATGGCCGTGGTGCAGACCACAGTGCCACTGTTGATTGTGATGCAACTTGTAACGATGCAGGACCATCTTTGCCAAATCTAGATGGGGGATCAGATCCTCCTATAGCTGTAGGATCAGGGTGGTTAAACCTGCAGTTTGATGCATACTTGCAGGAGCCAGTTCGCATATAGTAGGGACACTCTCTCTCACCCTGTAATAAGTAAACATAAATATTCACAGAAACTGACTGAGACATGATAATAGCTTTAAAAACCAATAAATAATAATAAATAATAAAAATTTAGGCCAAGATAAAGTCTTAAAAAACGTGATTACATATTAATTTCTCAAAACTTAGCAATTTAGATATAAAGTGTATACCGGTCGAATTGGCAGGCCCAAAAAGTTAAGCTCAAGAACTGGAGCTACAGAAGGTTTCACTTTGCTGTGGCTGTATCTGCAATCTTTCCCATACTTGCATCCCCCTGACCTCAAGTAATACTGCAACAAGCTCAAGTGTTATAACATCATGAAACTGTTACCAGTCCGCCGCCATTTGTA